TGCTGAACCTTGGTGGCAACGTATTTCCATCTGCATCCGAGAACTATTTTCCGAGCTTTGTCATCCCTAATCAGCTGGCAAGTATCCTCTCTCTATGATCATCAAATTAATATATGAAGATCACAATTTGTAAAATCTGAAATGGGGTTCTCTATACAATATTATATATGTGTGTGTATATATATATATATAGATATCAGGACATGCACAATTACGTCTATGTTTAAGCCCAAAACAATATTCTGATACGCTTGTATATATGTGTGTGCAGCAGCCACGCATGATCGACGATCTTACTGACCCATTCCAGCTTATGCATATCGCAAATATGCAACAACGTGATGTAAGATAACTTACATATAAAATTTTTGATGTTCAAAATCTTAAAAAATCTCTCGCAAGTCGTAACCAATAATTGTGGTTTTAAAATATTGCAGGTCGACTGGGACGAATTTATGGATGCCATGATGGAGGATGATTAATTTGGAGGGAGTGATAAGAGAACCTCACAAATATCTAAAACCAATCCTGCCCGGAAAAGCACACAAAGATAGTAGATTGGATTAAGATATTCTGTAGTTCTAATATTTGGTCTAGTTAAGTCTTTGAACGATTTGAGTTAAGTTTGTTTAAATTTGCTGAAAGACCTTTGGTTGTAGTTTTTATAATTAATAGAGTTTGCTGTGTACCAGCGCTTGGAACCTAAATAGCTATTTTATCGTAATATTTCAGCATTTTTATATATCCCTTGTTATTATTATAATTTTTGGCTTGCAGATTTAATTTGTTTCGTTATTCTCTCTCTTAACAGATTTAGTTTTGTTTAGTATTATAATTTTACGATAAAATTGCTGAACATAAGTCTCATCAATATTTACCCATTTACTTTTAATTAATATCTTTTTAACTAATATGGTTATTTGACTAAAAATGATATTAATCAAATGTATAAAAAGTAAAAATTTAGACCCATACACTCTAAGAGGTATTTGTCTCATTTCTTCTAATTTTATTCATGGAGTACCATATTTTTTTCCTTGAAAAGCACGTGTTCTAAACTGTTTTTTGTTTTTCAATTTTTAAAATGATTTTAACATCCAACTTTTCTGTATTTTAAGACACAAGTTTTTTGTTTTCGACATTTTGTTTTTTTTTTTATAGAATTTTTCAAGCATAACTTTTTTATTTTTAGAAAAACACGTTTGCAAAAACTGCTCGTTCTTTTGTATTCTAAGTTTTGAAAATTAATTGACGTTTCAAACTTTTCTGAAATTTAAGATACAAGTTTTTTGTTTTCATTTTTTTTTTCAAAAATAATTGCTTTCAAATTTTTGAACTATTATTTTTTATGTTTTCAATATTCTTTAAGTATCATATTCTTATTCATGCTGTTTTCCCCTGAAATACATGTTTGCTAAAACTGGGTTGTTTTCCAATTTTTTAAAATGATTGTTATATTACACATCCCACTCGATTTTTCAAATGCTCCTTTAAATTATAACTTATTCCCGCAAAAAGACGTCGATAAAATAACACAAAAAGGAGAAAAGCTCGATATTGATAATCTTATTATTATTATTATTGTTATTATTATTATTGCTTAACTAATTCGTTCTTATTTCTCACTTCTTTAGCACAATTCATACATTTCTAAGGCCGAGAAGTTTTGAAAGTCAAAGCTTTAAGATGGAAGAAGAACAATTAGTTATAGGTGGTGCTGAAACTTTGGACGGGTCGCTCGCGACTACTCGAAAAAATTAAATTTGTGCCCTTTGCTTGAGCCTGCTCGCCCGAAAAATTCTGGCTGCCCACCCGAATTTGAAGTCTTCCTTGAACGGGCTTCGGGCAAGTCTTGGCTGCCCGAGCCTGCCTGAAAGTGCCCAAATTTTTTATATATTGTTTTAATTTTTATAATATTGTATATATATATATTATATAATATTATTTATACTTTTATTTATTAATTTTTAAATTTATAATTCATAATTGCCTCGTTATAAACCTTTCTAAGAAAAACTCAATTGGGATAAAAACTTGGTAAGTAAAAAAGAGTGCAATCATTTTGTGATGAATTATAAATTTTATAAAATTACAAAGTCTAAATATACAATATTACAATTACAATGTCTAAAGCAAATAAATATTTACAAATTACAATTTAATTTGAAGCTGAAGAATTGTCTTCAAAATTAAATGTTAATATATTAAATTAATCTATCCATTCTTGGCTTGCCGGTAAAATTGTATCTTATAAACGTTGATCGGCACGATCTTAATCCTTAATACACACCGAAGCTTCAACAATATTCCTTTACAATATGTTTCGGTGTTCCTCAAGTATTCATCCAGTCGTACTGAAGGCTTGTTCGGTTGAAACAGTGGAGATTGGGATCGAAAAAATATCCATTGCCAATCGAGTTAGGACTGGCTAAGTTAATGCTCGTGTCCTCAACCATTGAACTAAATCAAATACTTAGCTACTATCATCGACTACTAAGCTCTCGCTGAGGTACGCCATAAGCTCGTTGAAGCCGCCGCCACCACCACCTCTTGATGAAGATCCACTCCCAACTTCTGTTTGAGTCTTTTTCTTCTTCTTTAACCTGAAAACATTCATGAATGAATGCAGTTTTTCATCTTTTTGTTGCGGTTCCTGTACTCGACAAGTGGTGTTTCTAAACCTATTCTCATAAACACTATAGAGAGAAAATATTTTTTCTTTTATTTTAGGAAATTGGTTAGAATAATCGATTTCTAAAAATACACCTAAGTTTTCTAAATCTTCTAATTTTAACCTAGGATAAAAAATAGTATTGAAACCATACAACATTGGTAATTTAAACCAATATTTTTTAAATTTCTTTTCCATAAAAGCGATAGGAATTCCTAAAATGGGGTCCTTCCTAAATAAAATACTAATTCTTAAAGTTCACCTAAAGCTAAAGGTGATGTTGGGTAATATGTTCCACTAAGTTTTAAAGTAACTTCATGAAAACTACCTAAAAATTTACACAAAGTTTCGGCAATTTGCTAATCATATGGGTCTATATGTCATACTCCTAATTTTGTACTGATATAGTTTATTATAACATCCTTATAGGGGAGGCATTATTGAAGCATTATATAAATTGAGTTCCATCTTACATGCATATCTAGGGCTAATACTCTAGGAGTTAGATTTACTGCTTGTAAGAACTTAAACCAATCTTGTTCTCTTTGATTACTACCTTGAATCCATGCAATACTATCTCTAATTATTTTTATATGAATAGTCATTGATTTTAAACCGGATTTTACTACTAAATTAATTACATGGTATGCACAGCGTTGGTGAAATATAGTACCATCACTGAATAAACTTAAATCATTTTCAAAATATTCAATTGCTTTAATATTTACATTAGCATTATCTAATGTTATAGTCATCACTTTATCCCTTAATCTATATTCATCAATGACATTTAAAACCTAATATTCTCTTATCTAAATCGAAACCTTTGAAGTAATGTTCGGTTATAGATAAATAATCTTTATTGGCAATGGCAGACTAAATATCTGTTGTTAACGCAACGTAACTGCTAGTAGAGTGTAAAATGTTGATTAATGCTTCTTTTTCTTATTTAAATAATTTTAATAAATCTTTCCTAAGAGTAGTTTTTGAAAAAAACTGTACATTAGGATTGTGTACAATTTTAATATAACGGTGTCAATTAGGATGCTCGACAAAACTAAGTTGCTGATCTAATGATGTTATCATTCACGCAACTTTCATACGATCTACTTACTGATCGTATTTTCAAGTGGTTAGACCACCGGTTGTGCGATCAAATGATAATTGTGTTTGGCGGAGTTTGGATCCTCCGGTTTGGCCACGCTTTTGAAGACACTTTTTGAAGTGTCTTCTCAAGTGTGTCGTGCCATGAATAGTATCACATTGTAAGAATGACAATATTTACATTGAGCTATGTGTTTAGTGTTACCGTCATTGTTGACCTCCTTTAGGACGTTGAAGTGCTTCCAAACTGTGGAGGTGCGCTTGTATTTTTTCTTAGAGGTTGCAACACTTGCAGTAGCACTTGCCTTTCTACGCCCACCATTGCGACCACGACCTCTACTATATCCACCACGGCCGGGATTTGGAATTGGACATTGTTCCTCGGGTGCTTGTGTTTGTGATTCCTGCGTAGCATAACCATTAATAGGAATTGGACTTTAGGGATCAATGGAATTATCACCATAACCAAAGGATGCCATTATAAAAATGAAATTCTACTAAAGTGAGAGAGCTTGAAGTTGAAAAGAGTTTTGAGAGCTTTAAGACTTGAAATGAGAGCACTTTGAGAGAGAGAGCTTTAGGATTTTGTGTGAGCTTGTGGAAAAATTATGAGAGAGATTTGAGACAAAAGTGAGATAGAGTGAGAGAGAATGTGAGTAATGTTGTGAAGAAAATGTTTGGGGGAGGGAGGTATTTATAGGAAAATTTTTGGATTAAAAAAATCAAAATTTCCCCCACATTTTTTAATCCAAAAGCTAGTTTTTTATTGGGTGGATCGGGCTTCGAGCGGCGGTTCGGGCTTCTCGGGCAACGGCTCAAAAAATAGCCGTTGAAGTTACGCTTTCGGGTCGGCAGTCGGGCCGGGCATCAACGATAAAAAAGCTAGCCGTTGGGCGGGCACTCCGGTGGGCGTTCGGCGGACATCAGGTAGGGGGTTTCAACAGGTGGCGGGCTTGGTTCAAATAGGATATTTTCGGGCTACCCGAGCCCGAGCCCGACTCCTAGGCTGGACGGGCAGACATAGGGTCCTGCCTGCCAAGTCCGAAAAAATTCAGGCTTCAGGTAGGCATGCCGTCCAAAGTTACAGCACTAGTCATAGGCGTGAATATAGAATTGAAAAAGAAAAGAATGAGCTATGAAGAAAGGTATTAAAAAAATCAGACAAGAATGACGGGACGAAAAATTTGCCAGAGTGACTATCTAATAAAGTGAAATTGGTAAAATGATCTTTTCATTTTTGTAAAAAACGACCACTCGTTCATTCTTTGTTAAAAGTATTATATGTTCCTAATTGTTCAGTAGACATTTTGCAAATAAAATTTTTTAAAAATTATTTTACTAATAAAACTTTTCTATTGAGTCATATTTACAAGGAGGTTAGAAAGAAAATATTGATGCGGTGTCTTCTAACAACTGAAAATACTGTCGGATAATTTGACAGGGAAAATGGAGAGATGATTTGGGTTCGTTTTAGGCTAACAACTGAAGGATTTTGATTTCAAAAAATTTTCCTCTAATAGTTATTTTCCAATGAAGAGCCAACCATACTAAGCAAAGAGAGTCCAAATTCTCAAATCGAGGTTTCTCTTACCAATCTGATCATCAACTTTCCCTGTATATCTCCATTTTTTCAAATAAACAAAAAAACTAGCCGTTAACAAAATCTACATCATATATAATAGGGCTCACTATAAAATAGATCGTATA